TTATTTACAATATAAATACTTAAAATGTATTTGAAATCATAAGTGTGGCAAAAATGTGAATTTAATATAACAATATTAGATGTTACCCTGAAAATATATGAAGTACATTGATTTCAAAATTTTACAAGTAGTGGAGCACCTGCCTAGTAAGTGCAAAACCCTGAGTTAAAACCTTAGTACCATAAAAAATTATTTGAAAGTATGCAAGAAAACTTTTGTTTTCCAGTGCTAGAGATCAAACCAGGGTAAGTGCTCTCCACTGAGCTACCTCCCTAGCTCCAAGGAAACTTCATTTGGAAGACTACTGTCTTAAAATGCAGTGATAAAATTTTTAGATTTTTATCATCTGTAACCTCTATGACAAAATTACTAAAGCCATGTCATATATTTACAGGGCTTAATTTCAGCTAAATACCGATTCAGCTTTTATCTAAGAATAAATCTTGATGTCAGGTACAGACAAGTAAAAAGAGTGGGATAACCAGCCATGGATTCCACAGAATGTCCCCCTTAAGAACATAAAAGTTTAAATTTAAAAAAAGAAAACACTAAAATGGAACTGCAGCCAGCAATTGCAAAATCCATCATACAATGCATGTTTAGTAAAGACAACCACTATAAACCTGATGGGTCAGTCGAATCCTCTGATATAGTTTAGTGCTTCCAACACATATAAGGCACTTTCAAACTAAATAAATACTTCTTGAATATCTACTATGCAGCAGGTATGGGAAGAAATGCAAAATGTGTACTAAAAGATTGCTGCCCACTAGGAATATAACAGGAATTGCTCAAAGGGAATTTGTTTCCAAGAGGAATGAGAGAAGTGTCACCTATCCAAATAAGGAGCTGGTGGAAACATGGAAAGAATATACTTTCACAAAGCTTGGGTGTAAAGGAAGGGAAGAAAATGACATTAAGTGGAGGAAAAGATACTGTTTTAAGATTTTTATCCGCATGTATTCTGTGTTATGCATTGTTTTAGACCCCGGTGAATAAGCAGAAAATAAAGCAGAAAAATCCCTTGTGCATTAGTTTAGGAATAGGCCTGTCCACTACAACAAAGAGGTCCAAAATGAATTTTAAAACAATAAAGTTAATGTTTTCTTGTGTAATGGTCCAGAAGTCTACAGTTGACCTAAAGGAAAAGGTGCCTCCGTTTCCCAAAATTATTCTGGGACTTAGTCTAAAGATAATTTTGTCCTTCTTAAATACATGGCTTTCATTTCTAACCTGTATTTCTTTTTGACATTTGCCAGATATCAGGAAGAGAGAAGAGCAGGTGGATGGCAAGAAGTTTCCTTTTTAAGGGGTATGATCCAGTTCTACTCATGTCTCATTAGTTGCAACTTTTTTATATAGCTACACCTATCTGAAAGGGTGGCCAAAGAATATCTTCTTTAACTGGGTCATCAATTGCCTTGCTAAAACGTGAGGAGTAGAGGTATGTCCTCTTACTAAACAGAAAAAGATGGGCCAGGTGTAGTTGTGCATACCTGTAATCCCAGCACTCAGAAGGTGGAGGAAGGAGGATCTCAAGTTCAGGCCTGGGCAACAAAGTGAGACCCTGTCTCAAAAAAAAAGAAAAAGAAAAAAGAAAAGGAGAGAGAGAAAGAGAGAGAGAATATGAATGAATAGAATGAACACACTGGACATGTGAGCATATATTCTGTAAGAAGGTAACTATGGGCAAGTGAAGAAATGGCTGTGAACTGTGTATATGAAGTTGTGGTAAGTGATAACAAGAAAAGCAGAAGAAAGGAGTAATTTATATATAGACTGTGACAAGTGAACACAGGTTTGAAAAAGTAGAGTATGACTCATGCAGATTTCTGGTTAAAGACATTCTAGGTAGAGGGAACAGTTAGTGCAGAGGCTCTGAGGTAAGATAACATTTCAATCAATTCACACAGACTGAAGACAAACAAGACGAGACTAATGATATGGAACCAAGTAAAAAGAGTAAAGGGAGAAGAAGTTGTCAAGAGTGTCACACCTGCAAGTGTGAAGCCTTGGCCATTGGAATTGGCCACACAGAAGTTATTGGTGACCTTGACAAATGGCATGAAAATTTGAATGGAGTAAATTTTGAGGAGACAGAATTGAGTTTAGAGAGAGCAAGGATGGTCCTGTCTGTTGAGAGAATGGGAGTGACTTGAGCATGTGAAGGTAAGAGCCAGTTGAAATGGAGAGGGTAAAGATTACAGGAGAAGAGAAAACTGATGTGACCAGGTCACAGAAGAGAGAAGCATATGGAGTCCTTCCTCTTCCTCTATGTTAACTAGAAGAATGGAGTAAATGAAGGAGGAGAGAAAGAGGACTGCGTAGGAGGCTGTGGGGATTCCTACTTAATGGTTTTAATTTTCTTTCTGAAGTGGCAGGTAAAGTCATCTCCTGAGCTTCAAGGAAGTTTTCCTTAGCTATAAGATAGCAGGAATGGATAGGCAGAGATGTACCCAGCTGAGGTGTTGTGTGGGCACTTGGGGACACAGCCAAAACTGAGACTATTGGCAGAGTAGTTATGAAGGATGAATCCGGTGGTATATTCCCCCAGTTATGCACCACTTTCCTGTCTTCATTCTTCCAAATGGCAGAGATGAAAAGGCAACACTGTCCACCTCTTACCAAATCAATCTTCCTGGTAGACCATGAGAACTAAGCTCCGTATGCGGTTTATGTCAGTCACCACCACAAGCACAAGACCACACATTCTTAAGCGTGAAGAGAGAAGGAATGACTCAGCCACCTGAAGAGAATCTCTGAGCCAGATTTGTAATGCCTGTGGCAGCACCACACAGTTATGAGAGCCACACCTAAAATCCTCTTTGTCTGTCACTCACTTGGTCAATCACCAAGCTCTGCTCATCTCACCTTCTAAATTACCCCCCAAGCAGCCTGCTTCTTTCCATTCCCACTCTTCATGTCACTGGTAGTTTTGGTTTCCATAATTTCACATTTGGGTAGGTACCCTATCCCTCCAGCTTTCTGTGGAAAAACTGCCACTCCCCTGGTTAAAAATCTCCAATGACTTCCCCATTGTCCTCCATTTGGATGGATAAAGTCCAGCCAAATTCACTAAACTGATTTCCACTATCATTCTACTACAGTATCTTAATCTCTCCCCATTCCTTCATCCATACAATATTCCCCAAGGACTCCAAAATCTGCAGATGCTCAAGATCCTTATCTAAAATGGTATATTATTTGTATATAATCTATGCACATACTCTTGTGTTCTTTAAATCATCTCTAGATTACTTATGAAACCTAATTCAATATAAAAGCTACGTAAATAATTTCTATACTGTAGTATTTATAATAGCAAGGAAAATGTACATGTTCAATATAGACAATTTTTTGAAATATTTTTGATCTGTGTTTGGTTGAAACTGCAGATGCAGAGCTGGAGGATATGGAGGGCTGACTGTACTATAACAAAGTTTACTTGAATGTGGTCTCTCTAAATATCTTGTTGTAGTGCATGCACCTTTATTCCTGTGATGAGATGAAGTGAGGTGAATAATACAGGTATTAGGATATAGCATTAGGCTACTAGAAAGGGTTACTTGAACACCAGCAGGGATAGCAGATCTGATAACTCAGAGGGCTACTGAGTAATGGCTACTAAGTGAGTAATGGCAGGCAGATAAAATATACAGCTTAGGTTTGCTGGTTGATGTTTTGGGCCGCACCGACCAGGACCAGTGAGATTTCATCATATTATTCAGAAATTAAAATGTGTAGATTATTTCTATAATTTTCCATTTAATATTTTCAGACCTTGGTTGACCTGGGGAAAATGAAACCCAGAAAAGCAAAACCACAGAAAATTGTGGGGGCTACTGTAAGTACTGCTTTCCCACTGCTATACCCTCCTTCCTGACCTAGCACTTGCTCTCTCTCAGCCCAAAGTCTCTTCTCTATCAACCCTCCTCTGCCCTGTGTCCTTTCCTGCTAATCCCATATTCATGGTTCTTATCTCAGCCTAGTGGCCTCAAGAAAGCGTTCCGGATCTACCCACCCAGCACGAGAGGGTGGCTCTGCAGTGTAGTACTGTATTAACCTTAAGAAGCATCACTCATTGCGGGTTTCTACAGCGACCCTGACCTCTTACTCACTCCCATATCCCCAGCATTCCGACACTGTGCTCAACACCTGTTTGTGGAATGAACAAAGAGTGAATAAATCATGACCCCCAAACCCCGGGTTTTCTATTGCATCGCTCATCAATTTAACAGAGATTAAAACTGATCAAGTGAACTAAAAACTGTGCGCAAGGCCGTAAATGGGAAATCCCGGCCCTGAGAACCAATTCCCCACCCACCCGCGGAGGCGGGGACAGGGCTCCCGGGGGCGGGACCTGCCGGTGGGCGTGCCTCGGGGAAGGCGGGGCCTCCGCGCAGCTGGCCCGCCCCGGGGCGGGCAGCTCGTGGGCGAGGGGAGGGCGGGGCTCGCGGGCGAGGACTCCTCGGGTTTCGAGGCTCGGGCGCGGAGGTGTGGTCCATTCCCGGCCGGTGGCCCAGGTCACGGGCCGCGCGGCCCGGCCGCCATCTTGCCCGCGTCGCGGCTCCCGCGGCGGGAGGGGCGGTGTCCAGGCCGGAAGCGGCGGCGCGGCAGCTGCGCTGCACCTAAGGTCAGTGACTGCGGGCCCGGCCGCGTCTCGATTCTCTGTCGCGCCGGGGACCCGGGCGGCGGGGCGAGGCAGCCCTCCGAGCCTCGGGACAGGTCGTGATCCGCGCGGCAGGATGAGGACCGCGCCGGGCCGTGGCGGCTCTCCCTCCGGGCCCGGGGCGGTCGTCCGTCCCCGGCCGGACGCGAGGCTCCGCCAGGTGTCCGCAGCGTGCTTCCTGCTTCACCCGGAACAGCCGCGGGCCCGGCCCTCGGGGCACCCTGAATTTGTTAAAGGGCCTGTCACCCGGGTTCTCAGACGCAAGCAATGGACGGTCCTTCAGGGGACTCCGCTAAGGACCCGTTGCTTCGCTAAGTCGCTTAGCAGATGACCGCTTCTGCGGGTCTTTGTAATAACTCTTATTTTAAGGAAAGTTTGAATATGGACAGTGCATCTTGAAGGTGGTGATACTGGGAATTTCTTGAAACGGCTGTCGTTGTACAGTAATGGTAAGAAAAGTAGGCGACAACAAAAAAAGCATGTGATGGAATAGTTTGTATTATTGTGTTGGACTTATGTCCATTAGCCACGTGGGGTTGAGAGGTGCCATTAGTGTAAAATACACATCGGATTTCTTCCCAGACTTGCACAAAAAATGTAAAAGGCCTTAAGTTTTATATTGATTATATGTTCACAGGCTGATATTATTGATAAGTTGGGTTAAATAAAATACATTTTTAAATTTAATTCCATTTATTTTTCCTTTTTAAAATATGGCTGCTAAAGAATTTCAGTCATATGTTTCTGTTTCTGTTGGGTAGTGCTGTTGTAGACGTTCCGGGGATGAACACAGACTCAACATGCCTTTCCTTTCCTGAGAAACCATTGAAGGGAAGTGAGCACTTGTTAAACTTGAAGGTGAGGATCTAAATAGAAGCTGTAATTATTGCAAACCCCACCCCCTATTTTTCAGTGTCTCCTCCATTTGGAAACATTAACTTCCACAGCTGTTTAAAAGAATGCTAGTCACAAGGGAGATATGAGGCTAGGTAAGACACCTAAAAAACTAGATAGCATTTGTTGCCTCAACGCAGAGAAACTAAAGCAGATACTTTAAAGCAACTGAAGCCAATAGGAGAAGGGGACCAGGAAGTAGAGAAAAGGTTAGATCAAGAAGAATTAACCTAGAAGGCAACACACATGCACAGGAAATCAATGTCAATGTGAGTCAACTCCCTGTATAGCTATCCTTATCTCAACTAGCAAAAACCCTTGTTCCTTCCTATTATTGCTTATACTCTCTCTACAACAAACTTAGAAATAAGGGCAAAATAGTTTGTGCATGGTATGAGGTATGGGGTATGGAGGGGGTGGGGGGGAGAGGGAGGGAGTAGGGTGGCTGGTAAGGGAGGGGGTGGGGGGAAGGGTGGAGAAATGATCCAAACATTGTATGCACATATGAATAAAAAATAAATAAATAAATAAAAGAATGGTAGTGAGGGCTGGAGGCGTGGCTCTGTGGTGGAGTGCCTGCTGCTTAGCAAGCATCAGGCCCTGAGTTCAAACCTCAGTACCGCCAAAAATAAAAAAGTACAAATAAAAGAAATGCTGGTGATGCTCATGTCTGTGTGAAGCAAAGAACTCATTTCACTTGATTCACAATTTTGAGAGGAGGAAATCAGATTCTGGCTCAGTCGGTGTATTTAAGGGGTTTGTTAGAGTCTAAGCTAGTGAGTGGCTGAAAGATTTCTGAGTCCTGATTGTTTTCTTCACTCTTCCCCAGATTCTTAGTTACTTGTGTTCATGAGCAAGTGTTCATCTATATTGTATATTAGATTTCTTAAAAGGGTGGTTATAGATGCATCTCTCTCTACAGGGCTAACGTCATAATTTACAGCCCATGTGGTAGCATGGGATCTAGCATTTAGAATGGTTAGCCCTTAGTTTAAAGCTCTACTGTCACAATCTTAAATTTTTTTATAATAGAAATGTGCAGGATGCCCTGCATTTGTATTTCACACTGGGCTGATCTTTTCTCTCTGTAATACTCTAGAAATTGACCTTGCACAAGAACCGGAACATCTGGTCTTCTCTCTAGTCCCGCACAGAATGAGTATTTGTTAGTTCCTTCTATCTCTCAAGTTCTGTGATATTTGTATGAGTTATTGTAATCAGATGTTGTGGACAGCAATATAAATATTTTTAAGTGCATTGGAACCAGCCACAATCCTTATACTCGTTAGCCACATTAGCTAAGAGCACCTATATTAATTAGCACAGATGTACAACATTTCTATCATTGAATAAAGTTCTGTTGGACAGTGCTGTTCTAACTATTGCTTAGGAACATGACTCAATGCTTTTAAGTTTTCTCTCCTTCAAAGGAATGATACTAATTTACTACCACACTGAAGTTATTATAACCCTAGGTTAAGTTGAAGGTATTAGTAACAGTATAATTAAGATAATTGCTCATGGGAAGTAGAGCCCGTATGTGGTTCTCAGATTTCTACAGTTCACTTTTGTTTAAGGAAGTGGTTGCTCTTTCTCGTTTATCAGTCAGTCTTGTCTTGAATTTGTGGAAGATGGAGAGAGGGAATACAAACGTGCTGAAAAAGAGAGTACTTGCCCAGAGAATTTCCTGACTTTCTCAGTAATTCAACTTAAGAATTATATTTTCTTGGTATTTTAACTTCTTTGTTTTTAAACACTTTTAGTGAATGGACCTGACTGGACTTGTTGAACGCATCAGTAAACATGAGCGGTACCAAACCTGATATTTTGTGGGCACCACACCAGGTTGATAGATTTGTGGTATGTGACTCAGAACTGAGCCTTTATCATGTGGAATCTACTGTGAATTCAGAACTCAAAGCTGGATCTTTACGTTTATCTGAAGACTCTGCAGCCACATTATTATCAATAAATTCAGATACACCTTATATGAAATGTGTTGCATGGTATCTCAATTACGATCCTGAATGTCTCCTAGCAGTTGGACAAGCAAATGGTCGAGTTGTACTTACAAGTCTTGGTCAAGATCATAATTCAAAGTTCAAAGATTTGATTGGAAAAGAATTTGTTCCAAAACATGCACGACAATGCAATACCCTTGCATGGAATCCATTGGATAGTAACTGGCTTGCTGCAGGTCTAGATAAACACAGAGCTGACTTTTCAGTGCTAATATGGGACATCTGCAGCAAATATACTCCTGATATTGTTCCCATGGAAAAAGTGAGACTCTCAGCAGGTGAGGCTGAAACAACGTTATTAGTAACAAAACCACTTTATGAGTTAGGACAGAATGATGCTTGTCTTTCCCTTTGTTGGCTTCCACGAGACCAGAAACTTCTCCTTGCTGGAATGCATCGAAATCTAGCCATATTTGATCTCCGGAATACTAGCCAAAAGATGTTTGTAAACACAAAAGCTGTTCAGGGAGTGACAGTAGACCCATACTTCCATGATCGAGTTGCTTCCTTCTATGAAGGTCAGGTTGCAATATGGGATCTTAGAAAATTTGAAAAGCCAGTTTTGACTTTGACTGAGCAACCAAAGCCCTTAACAAAGGTAGCCTGGTGTCCAACTAGGACAGGTTTGCTTGCCACTTTAACAAGGGATAGTAATATTATTAGGTTGTATGATATGCAGCATACACCCACTCCTATTGGGGATGAAACTGAACCCACAATAATTGAAAGAAGTGTGCAACCTTGTGACAATTACATTGCCTCCTTTGCATGGCATCCAACAAGTCAAAATCGAATGATAGTTGTAACTCCCAACCGAACAATGTCTGACTTCACTGTTTTTGAAAGGATATCTCTTGCCTGGAGCCCAATTACATCTTTAATGTGGGCTTGCGGTCGCCATTTGTATGAATGTGCAGAAGAAGACAATGATAATTCTTTAGAAAAAGATATAGCAACAAAAATGCGCCTTCGAGCTTTATCGAGGTACGGACTTGATACAGAACTGGTATGGAGAAATCACATTTTAGCTGGAAATGAAGATCCACAGCTCAAGTCACTCTGGTATACTCTGCACTATATCCTTTGCATTTTGTATGGTAAATTAGGTAGAAATATTCTTGAAGTTTGCTGAAAGGTCAGATTGTAACTCTGCTGAATGTTTTATATGCAAATGTAGGTTGTGTAATACTAAAATTAAGAGGTGAAATTGTTAAAACGCTTGAAATAATGCTTTGTAGATTGTGTAAGAGGAAAAAAATGTGTATAGTATAGAACTTAACCTTATTTACATCAGTGCCTATTGTGAATTGGCTTCTGGTCAAAATAAATTTAGCTTTAAAAGATTTTGCTATGCATCATCACTAGTATTTCCTATGCATTTAAATACTTATGAAGCAATATACAGAAGATACGGATCAGAAATCTCCAGGCAGCAAAGGATCATTGGTTTACGCAGGAATTAAAACAATAGTAAAGTCATCTTTGGGTAAGAAAATTCCATTTTTTTTCAAATACATTTATAACTTTTGTACTTGTATTTTGTCCTCAATTATTTTGTTGACATTATATTTAGTTATTTCAGGATTGTGTACATAAATACCTTTTTTCTTGTTTGGTTTCTGATTAGATATTTTAGTAAATTGTTGAATTAAATGCATAATTGTCTTTATATCCCAAATCCTTTTTTGAAGGGAGTTTTGTTTCTTTGAGGTGACTTGGACTTTCTTAAATGTATTCATTTATTATTCAATGTCACTTAAAGACCCACTTAGGCCTTATGCAAGACGATTTATAGGATGCACTTGTTAGCTTGAATTTTATCACAACATTTTACATTTTAAAAACTAAATTAGGCTGGGTGCAGTGGCTTACATCTGTAATCCCAGCTACTCAGGAGGCAGAGATCAGGAGGAACGCAGTTTAAGACCAGCCTGAGCAAAAAATTAGTGAGACCCACCCCCCTTCTCAATAAACAGACTGTGGATGGTGGTTCATACCTGCAATCCCAGGCTATTTGGGAGGCATAGGCAGGAAGATTGCAGTTGGAGGCTAGTGTGGAGAAAAGCATGAGGTCCTATCTGAAAAATACCTAAAAGCAAACAAGGCTTTAATCCTAGCTCAGGTGATAGAGAGTTTGCCTAGGAAACATAAGGCTCTGAGTTCAAATTCCATTACCACTTGAAAACAAAAAGTAAAATGATCAGGCATAGTGGTATATGGCTGTAATCCCAGCTACTTTCGAGATAGAGATCAGGACAGTTGTTGTTTGAGGCAAATCCCTGTCTTAAAAATCAAGCCAGCTGGGCACTGGTGGCTCACTCCTGCAATCTTAGCTACTTAAGAGGCTGAGATCGGAAGGATCAAGGTTTGAGGCAGCCTGGACAGACAATTTGACAGACTCCATCTCCAAAATAACCAGAGGAAAATGGACTGGAGGTGTGGTTCAAGTGGTTGAGTACTTGCCTTGCAAGCATGAAGCCTTAAGTTCAGCCCCCCAGTTCCACCAAAAAAAAAAAAAAAAAAAGCCAGACATGGTGGTACATGCTATAATCCCAGCTACTCAAGCAATGGAGGTAGGAGGATCAGGTATGAAGCCAGCCCAGGGAAAAACACCACCCCTATCTGAAAAATAAAGCAAAATGAGTTTATGCATGGCCTAAGTTTCAAGTGATAGAGTGCTTGGAGGCCCTGAGTTCAAACCCACTACCACCAAAAAACCCCCCAAACTAAAAAGGTCTAATTGAAGGAAACCCCTTTTTACTTACATAAGAACTATGATGTGACATGATGTATGGCCTAACTTGAAGAAGCAATACCTGAAAGTCCTTGATGAATAAATGAATTAATTAATGTAGTGATGGAGTTGATAAACTATTAAGAATAAAAAGTGACCCTCCCCAAAAAAAATTTTTATTTTTTTGTTAACTGCTTTAAACAAGTGTTCTTATTCTTATTGTTGGAATTGAATTATGGGTTTTATTATAATTATCTCCCCTATCTAGGTAGGGTTCATTCTGTAGCTTTTGGTAGTTGAATTTTGTCCCAAGTCAAGCTGCTAGAAAAAGAGTTTACATGATTTAGTCAAAGCCATAGTACAAGTAGTAAATCCAGTGTACTTTTTTAAAAACAGGACTTGCATCATTGCTGCATAAGTAATACAAAATACAAAATTAATGTATTTTAAAAAGTGTTTGTTAAGCATTTCAGTTAAACTTATATTTAGCATAGTAGGGTTTTTTTGTTTTTTTGGGATTTTTTTTGGTGGTGGTTCTTGGGTTTGAACTGAGGGCTTTGCACTTGTTAAGCAGGCATTCTATTGCTAGAGCTACCCCTTCTTTTCTCTCTGGTTATTTTTGAGATCAGGTTTCACATTTTTTTTTTGGTGGGACTGGAGTTTGAACTTGGCTTCCTGCTTTTAAAGCAGGTGCTCTACCACTTGAGCTACACCTCCAGGCTCTCATTTTTTGCACAGGCCAGGCTGGATGGTGATCCTTCTATTTTATGCTTCCGCCATAGCTGGGATGACAAGCGAGCACCACCACGCCATGTTTTTTTCTGTTGAGATGGGTCTCAGGAAGTTTTTGCCCTGGCTGGCCTCAAACTTCAGTCCCCTTGATCTTAGCCTCCTATGTAGCTAGGATTATAGGCATGAGTCATTGGTGCCGGAGCATCAGTTTAGTTTATTTTTAAAAGAAGCTTCATTTACTTTGGTCCCCCATTGTTGGCAGATGTAATAGACTGCTTATCTAATCTATTTTAGTGTTTTCCCATTATTCCTTCACCAAAAAAGTACCCTTTATTATAAGAAATAAAATGTATGAGGTTCGTTAGAAACTGCTTTTTAAAATTAACATAGATGAAAGATAGACATACTGAATAACTCCCATCAGTGAACCTGAATATCATGGTTTATGAGTTTAGAACCTCTACTGCAAATAATTAAGTACCATGTTTATTAAATGTATAGTATTTTAGCTATATAGTAGGTCAGACCACATTGCATTCTTAGTTAATCTGTATTCAATTATTTGCGGTATTTTGTGATGTATTTTAGAAAAAAGCCAATAAACTACCTCTGAGGAAAACCAAAAGGGAAAACTGGAATATTTCTATGTTTCTAGTGCAGTAGAGACAAACTGTTTCACCCTTGAGTCAGAATAATCTTTATCCAAATGAAAGAAAAATTGTTCATTAGAGAAATTACTGTCAAAGATGACATCTAGGTTTCAGTCTTTTGCCTTATCTAGTAATACCTCCAATCCTGTCCAGTCATACCTTCTTCTCTACTTGTAGCTCTAAAAATTCAACACATAGTGAGTCAATACATTGAGCCATTTTGCCCTCAGTAGTCTGTTGTACATGTTTATTATAGCACAGATCTAAATTTTAATTTTGGTAACATAATATTGCTTATTATGAATGAAACATCATGATAGTTGTTTTCCCTATGTTACTTTAACTTTCACAATTATAATATGAAGTAAGTTCTTACATTCAGCAAGTATTTATCAGGTGCTCACTATATGCAGAAATTATCATAGATAAGTAAATCTCTTTCCTCATGAAGAAGACATGACAAAAGCAATGTCAGGCCTATTCTTGGAGAATTTATGTTCAAGTAAACAGGCAGTTATAACATGAAGAACAGATGTTATATATAAGAAGAATTTCTAATCTGGTAGTGAGGATGAGAAGTGTCCTTTACCTGGAGGTAGAGGCAATAAAAAGGTCCATACAGGGAGTAGCATATGCAGTGAGGCCAGAGGAAACAGCACATTCAGTATAGCTGTAACAGAGCAGGAGGAAAAGAATGGAAGCTAGAAAAATGAGCAATGGGCAAACTCAGGACAGACTTAGAATCTGTGTTACAGTTTTAGGGAGATTTATCATCCTGTAACAAGAGGAAACCAAGGAAGGATTTTAAAGAGTAGTGATAGAATTAGATTTCTTTTAGAATTGTCAGTCTGTGTAGAATGAATTGGAAGGGGAATCAAAGTTGATACAGGGATATGAGGTAGAAGCCTATAGTAATCAGGGAAGAAGTGATACTGTCCTTACCAAGGTCAGTGGTAGAGCAGCTAGAGAATAAACTGAGAGTGGGACAGAATTTAGTAATTAACTGGATAAAGGGATAGAGAATATTGAAAAGTCAAAGATAGCACACATGTATTTAACTTGAGAAACTAGTTGGTTTTGGTGCCAGTTAGTTAGATAGGAATAACCCAGAAAGAGTATGTTTGAAAAGAAAAAGGTTATTTTGGAGCAAAGTAAAAAAAATCAGGATAGCTACTTAGAGATGTCCAGTGAGCAATGGGATATGACTGCAAAGCTCATGGGAGGAATATAATTAGAGAGAAATACTGATATTTGATGGAATAGATGAAACTGTTCAGAGTAAGAATAGAATGAAATGGCTTAAAGAAGACAGGAGTGATGGGAGAAGTAAGAGAAAGACCAAAAGAGCCATTTATTCATATGAATGAGGGAAAAGAGAAGTCAGTTGTTAAGTGCTCCATGCTTAAGATCCCATCAAATAAGGCAAGAATTAAAAAGTACTCATTATTGATTTAGGAATAAGAAAAAGAGCTTCATTGGTGGTATGGATAGCAAATTGCAGTTGGATTAGAAATTTAGAGTAGATTGAAGAAATGAAAACAATTATAAATAATTCAAGAAATTAGACCACATAAAGGAAGATAAAATGGTAATTCAGTAGTAGTAGGGGGCAAATCTGGAATATCGGGGGGTGCTTTGTGTTGCTTTATTTTTGTTTTCAACATGGGATTGATTTTAGAATCTTTAAATTCTGATTGGAGGAAGCCCATGCTTACAGTGTTATCAATAGGTGTAAATAATTCCTTTTAACATAACCAAAGATTGTAAAATAAATCTTGGATGCCCATTTTTCCATCCAACATGATGTGAATGTTTTTCATACTTAAACTGATGTAGAGAACTTGTCCTGACTTCGAGGAGCAAAATTGCTGAGCTTTTGCTTTTTGCTATGCTGGGGTTTGAACTTGGGTCTTTATGCTTGGTAGGTAGCCATTCTGCCACTTGACCCACACCTCCAGCCATTGTGTTTTTTCTTTTCTTTTTTTTAAACACCAAAGTGTTGTTATAAACAGTGGATTATTTTATTGCTTTATTATATATATGCCACAAATTATACAAATGGCATACTATTGCTGATTTGAAACAAAATTTTTAAACCTGTTTTTTTTAATATTTAAGTAAACTTGTTTTCCTTGCAAACAATAATAAGACATTGGTCTGTTAAGAGCAATCTCAGATTCATGAAAAACAATTTATTTCAGTATTGAATATAATAAATAGATTTTGCTGCTTTTTTAGAGATCATTAAAAATTTATGTAATATAATGATATATTTAAAACCATGATAACTTTGTATTTCTTCTTTGATAGCCTTAATTACCCATAGCATGGTTTTCAAGCTACGAGAAGATCTCTGAGCAGCAAAAATTACAATACCTTAAGAATAGTTTAAAAATAAGTAATTTGGTATTGAGGATGTAGCTTGGTGGTAGAGTACCTATTTACCGTGTGCTAGGCCCTGGGTTCAGTTCCCAGCACCACCAAAAAGAAAAGTTATTTCAAGGATAATTATCTCACTATTGTTGAATTTCTAAAATTTTACCAATAACTCATCTTGAAACTTCCCTAAAGCAATCAGATAGTAGTTTAAAATATATACTAACATGAATAATATTTTAGACTTGTTATACCTAACATGAAGATAACAATCACAAATTATTTAAAAGTATGAATAAGTATTGTGGAGAGTTTAGGCCTTTGCTGTGTAGTATATTTATTCTTTCCAAGTATATTGACTACATGATTTAAAAATATATATATATAACTGATTATGTTTTAAATATTTTATTTTTACAAATTTTCGTCTACCTTTACCAGACTGATTATAGCTAGTCAACTTTGGACAGTGTATTAGTTTATTTAACATGCATTATCTCTATGGGTCATTATTTCCATGGGTCAGAAATCTGACCTGGTTAGCTGGGCCCTGTGCTCAGGGTATAACAAGACTAAAATAAAAGTGTAGGCCAATCTATATTTCTTTCTAGACATCAGTATTCTTCCAGATTTATTTGGTTGTTGGCAGAATTCAACATCTGTGAGTTAAAGACGCATTGAGGAGGTAAAGCAAAATTCCTAGGAATTGGAGGGAATGGGATCCAGAGCACAGATTTGGCTTTAGATAAGCGGGTACACACCTTCATATTAACCAAAAGGAAAGAAGAGAAAGGATGTGGTACACAGGATGATTAGGATTCAATAGCCAGAGGCTAAGAGGCTAAAACCTCTTTGCAATTATAGGACTAAAGTAGTTATTTTCTTTGTGGTTTATAGCCAAGGGCCAACCTTAGCTCCTACATGGCCTTTTCACAGATTTGGTCACCAACATGACAGCTCCCTCTTAATTTTAGATCCTCTTTTAAAGGGCTCACTTGATGAAGTCAGGCCTACACAGGATACTCTCCATTGATTCACTCAAAGTTAACTAGGTAAGGACTTAACTACATGTATAAAATTGTTTCACCTCTTCTATGTTTTATCGTTTAGAAGCAACTCACAGATTCTACTTGCATTCACGGGGAGAGGATTATACAAGAGTACAGTTCCCAAGGGGGAGGAATCATGGCGTCTTACTTATAATTCTGCCTATAACCAACAAATTAAATTAAGAATTTTTTTTTAAGTTAAAAGTATTTTTTTATTTATCTTGCACTAATAATACGAGGGGATTTCATTGTAACAATTCCATACATGGTTACAGTATACCTTGAACAAGTTCACCCTCTCCTGAATTAAGAATTTTAAAAATATATCTAGGGCTGGTGGTATGGCTTAAGTGACAGAGCTCCTGCCTAGCAAGCAAAAGACCTTGAGTTCAATCCCAGTACTGCTAAAAAACAAAGTAAAAGTAAAAGCCTATCTATTTGCTGTTGATCTGGTTGTTTACAAATGTATGATTGTGATATATAATTACATAAATGTAATAATAATAATAAAAGAAATTTGTAGTACAGACATTCATGTTGCCTAATTCATGATTCAGTTTATCCTGAAAATCCTTTCTGCTAAAAAAGTAGTTATATAGTGACAATTTTGAGGGTAAAACATTTGAATTATGTGGCACCAAGTAGCATCTTACAGTGAAATCATTAGAACCAACTGCCTTGATTGTAATGTAAATACTGCCAAAAAACAGTGAAGCTTTGCTATGAAAAATGGATGATAGTATGAAGCTCTAGATTTAGTAAAGTGGGAAAAACACAGTCAAATCATTCTCATTGTGTTTTCACTTTAGTACTTTGAAGCCCATGATCTCATTTTTTTATTCGCATGTACAGTTATGTATTATAAAAATGTTTGATCAACAAAGTTGGTCCTTCCACTCTTATTAAGGGATACATGAGTGTACATACAAAAGAGGCAGAAGGGAGAAAGATCAAGAGATCAAGAACACTTCTACTGGATCTCAGGTAGCGGTGATTGCTTGCAAATAAAACAGGCAAGGTGTCAGTTTTGGTGATGCATGTCTGTTATCCTAGTCCTTGGGAGGCTGAGGCAGGAGGATAGTGAGTTCCATACTTAGCTGCTTGTGTTCAAGTGGGAGAAGAGACAACTGAAGACAAATTATAGGAGCTTATGTTAAATTCTATGTGTAGGGAATAGAGATAATAATAAGTAGTGAGTTAGATAATAACAGATGTATCTATTTAACTTAGGAGGCCAGGGAAGCTTTTCTGAAGCAGTGACTTGGCCTAGTATATCTAAGCATTCACTCATTCTAACAGCTCTTTGCTAACTCAGCTAACTGTTGTATATAAAAACATGCAAAATGTTTTATTTGTGGCATATTTCATATTTATGTTATAAAATTGAGGCTGAGAAATTAAATATTCTAAATATTTTGGTGAAATTTTTCTCTAAAACTGATCTTTTTTTTGAAATATATTTCAAAATGATAATAAAACAATATAAAATCTTTTCTGTTTTTAGGAATGGTGGAAAGCAGCAGACATAATTGGAGTGGGTTGGATAAGCAAACTGATATTCAGAATTTAAATGAAGAGAGAATCTTAGCTTTACAGCTTTGTGGGTGGATAAAAAATGGAACGGATGTAGATGTGGGACCGTTTTTGAACTCCCTTGTACAAGAAGGGGAATGGGAGAGAGCTGCTGCTGTGGCATTGTTCAACTTGGATATTCGTCGAGCAATCCAAATCCTGAATGAAGGGGCATCTTCAGAAAAAGGTATTAGGTTATGTTCTGAGAATTGGCAACTCATAGAATCCTTTCAAGAAAGGATGCTGAAACCAGTATAATACTATATAACAGTAAATATCAGTCCATCACGTTTATTTATACTTTGGTTTAGGTCTGTAAAAACAGATATATCTTAAATATCATTTTAATACTATTAGGAGTTTTCAAATATTCCTATTTTCACTGATTCCCTTTTAAGGATAGTTCATACACATTAAAAATATTTCCTTCAAGATTTAGGACTACTTTACTTTGTAAGCATTTTTATGATACACATTTGAGTATGTTGTAGTG